ACATCAATCTTAGAATTGTATTAAGTGAAAAACATGGTTTCAAAAAATACCTACATATGTTTCATTTTGTTGTGATTTTTGAGACAGGGTCTCAGATTGTGGCCTCAGGCTCCCAGTTACTGGGATTACGGGCATGCACCACCATGCCCAGCCTTGGTAGTTAACTCTTCCCAAGCGTGAGAAATTCCAGACCGTGGCTGCCTCTAGCAGGGCAGGCAGAGGGGTGCACGGGAGTTGTGAGGCTGGCTCTGGGGCCACAGTAGGCTAATGGCTGCCTGTTACTCCATGACATGCATTTTTGCTTAAGTATTGTGCATTAACGAGTACGGCTTTCCTATTTTTTCATAAGCTGGACTCGTGTAGGCCTGAGATGTAGGCCGGTGGTAAGGAGCCTGCCTAGCATTATGGAGGCCTTGGGTTCCACACCCCACTTAGATCTAAGTAACAAGCTCTGTCAGCCACAGCGAAGAAGCAGGAAGCGGGAGTGGAGGGGATAGAAGAGCGGGTGGTTTCTGCCTCTTGTTTGCTCTGGTGTCACAAGCCCACTTCAGTAAGAAACGTTTCTAAAATAAATAAGGCAATATGGCACGACATTCACTTCCTGGTCTCCAGGACCACACAAGAGACTGAGTCAACTCCACAACGCCATCCCTGAAGGACAGCCAGCTACCGAGCCAGTCCATGTCTGCTCCTCCATCTGAGAACTGGGCACAGTGACAGTGTCTGCTCCAGGCCACTCCCATGAAAAAGTACTCGTGGTGGCTTCACCATACAGGCGAAGAGTGAGCCTGGCTGCTTCGTGGCCGTTTGTCTAATTTCAGTATCTAACGAGAGAAGACCTAAGCAATAGGCCAAGACCTGAGATGCTCCTGCCAGCTCCCCCCCCCCCCCCCCCCCCGCCCCAGACAGGTTCACTTCGCTAGTCCTTACAAGCACCCTGTGAGGCCTGGTGTCCAGCTGACCCGAAGGACTTACGGAGTCATTGGTAAGTTAATGCATGCTGCCTCAGTTTATGTAACTGCTTCTGTGACTGTCTGAAGAAGCCACTTGTGTAGGTAGGACCCTATACAACATGGATGTCTGCTTCTTTCCGTACTGAACCTTTGCTCAGACTATAAAGCTCCATTTCCCAGACATCCTTGCAGCAGAGTGGGGTCATGTCACAAAACTGGAACTGAAGAGTCACAAGTAGAAACCAGCTAAGGATTTCAGGAAAGGTTCTGCTTTCCCATGGCAGAAATTTCCTTCCTTAGCTTTGCTTATTCCTGTCCCACGGATGGGGGACTGCAAGCCGAACAGGTGACTTCTGACTATGAGGCTGACGATGCCAAAGCTGTCAAATCCTGCTTTCTTCCGGTGAGGAAGCAGGCCCTGTGGTGGTGATCGGTGTTCACAGGTGAACCCCAACAGGGCAGCCTTCCAGGAATCAATTCTTACATCACCTCTCTTTTTACAAGGCTGTGCAGATAGAGCCAACAGAGGGAAGAAGTGATATGAGCTGGTTCTTGCCCTAAGCAGAAGAAGACCTGAGAAGCCAAAGAGGCAGGCAGATAGAGTGGAGCATGCCTGTAACTTGGATGGACAGTGAGTGAGCTCATGGTCAGCCAAAGCTACATCAAAAGACCCAGTTCCCAACAAATACAAACAGGCAAACAAAACAAGAGGAAGAGGCTGCTGTCATAAAGCCTGGCTGACTAAGAATGCTACATGGAAGGAAAGGTCCTGAGATCACACAGAAAGATGGACAGAGTCATCCCAAGGGCCATTTGAAGAAAAACCGTCTGGAATGCTCCAGCCCTGAGCACTGCTGACCTGCAGCACAGTAGGACCAGCTGGAGAGCCGTCCCACCCGGCTGAGCCTCGGTCACCCACAGATGCCTGACAAGCAATACTCTGTTGACATCGGAGGACGGTCACCGTTTGCTGGGTGTCCTGTTGGGCAGCAGCATCTCAGCAGAACGTGTCAGGTTTCACAGCGACAAGCGCATTCCCAAACTGAAGCATCCCAGCAGAATCTGCTTCCATACTCTGGTTCCCAACGACTGTTCACAGGGAAGAGCACGACCCCTCCCCTTCCAACTGTGTCATAAGTGCCCATTAGGCACATCTAGTTGGCATAGGGATGATGCAGCTACTAATCATTTCTATAATTAAGACGCATTTAGAGTAGGTGGCTCATCATCCCGGGGCCGGTGAGAACCCCCAGAAAACACACCTCCTACCTGGACAAGGGGCACCACCACGCTACCGCTGCTTCCTTCTCATTCCCAAAGGCCTACAGAGCCGACGTTAAAGTAGCTAAGCAGGTCCCACACCTGTGGGCTAGTTTAAGAAGGCCATCAATTACAGAAATAAGTTTGGGAAAAAATTAGAAACAAAAAGAAAGCACATCAGAAACATCTAGCCAAATAAATTACGGCATGCCCACCACTATGTGTCAGGCAGACATTAACAAAGTACATTCGGACTGGGGGCGTGGCTCAGTGGTAGAGCGCTCACCTAGAACCCTCCAGTGAGGGGGATTATCAGCTGACGAGCACCTGCCTAGAATCCCCCAGTGAGGGGCTGGGGGTGTGCCCCAGTTGTAAAGGACATGCTAGGATAAAAATAAAATATTTTTTAGATTTTTGTTTAATGTGTATGAGTATTTTGCCTGCAAATATGTATGTGTACCACATGTGTGCCTGGTGCCCACAGAGGCTAGGAGGGCATCAGTTCTCCTGGAGTTAAGGATGGTTGTGAGCCATAACGTAAGTGCTGGGAACTAAAGTCCTCTGCAAGAGCAGCGAGTGCTCTTAACCACGGAGCATCTCTCAGCCCCTTTTCCTTTCTTCCTTCTTTCTCTCTCTGTTTCTCTCTCTCTCTCTTTCATGGTTTTTCAAGACAGAGTCCCTCTGTGCAGCCCTGGCTGTCCTAGAACTTGCTCTGTAGACCAGGCTGGCCTCAGACTCAGAGATCTGCCTGCCTCTGCCTCCCGAGGGCTGAGACTAAAAGCATGTGCCACCATTGCTTGGCCTTTTTTTTTTTTTAAAGAAGAGAGAATTGGAGGAATGCTGGAAGATTCAGAAATATTTCCATAGGGTACTGCTGTGTATGACAGCAAAATGCGGGGAAATACTGTATTATCCCTAACGGAATAACACTGTTCCCTGCAGCATTATATAACCACGGAGAAAGCACCTGGAGGAAGGATGCAGGAAGGTACTGCTGTGGGAGGGTGCTGCCTGGCAGGCAGGGTAGGGAGAAAAAAGCGCCCTAAAAAGGCGGGAGAGGGCAACGGAAAATACTCAAGAAGGAGCTGAAGCCAGCGCACGAGTGCTCGCTATCCCCACTCTGATCCACGAGTCTTCTGGCACATTAGCTGTCACCTGAACTCCCTTCGCTTCTCCCTTACAGACACTGTCACTTAGCACCGTCTTTCAGAGAGCAGGTGGTACTGGGACCTAAGCATTGTGAGAAATGGCTTTTCCTCAACTTACCCCAAGATGATGCTCCTTCAAGCTCAAGGGAGGGACAGTGACCCGTTGCCGCAGCGGCCCTCCATACGGCAACAGGCTCTGGAGGGTGAAGGGCACACGACTGCCATAGGACATCACTAGGCCCATGAGGTACCTCAAGGCCTCAGGCTGCTGGGAGAAGCAGAGAGGGCCACTGACCTGGCTCCCTGGAGAGTCCCGGGGGAAGCCAACCTGAGAGAATTTTACAGCATCAGTGGTTGCTACCCAGAGCCAGAAACAGAGAACCTGTCAGTTAAGATACAGCCAGACTCCTCCAACTCACCGGTTAATTAAAACCTGCTCAGCGCAAAGCAAGAGTTATTGCCTATTAAAGCAGAGAGGAGGACAAACCAGGGCTAGCTGGATCACTCCTATTTCTCCTGCCTTCCCGCCACAGAGCCCTGGAGATGCGTGGCCTCTCCACACACCCTGCAGATAGGCACATGGAGGCCTGACCCAAGTCCTCTCTTACTGAAATTACTCCATCGTTTTCTAACTCACCAGTGCCATGCCTCCTCTGTCATGCCATGGGCCCAAAATGCCCAAATGAGCCACAGCCAGGCCCCAGGCCGGGAAGCCTAAAGGGGCCGAGGGCCAGAAAGCCAGCAGCTTGAGGCTACAGACAGACCCCAAGAACGGCTGCATGACCACGGAGAGACAGGTGCGCGGGCCATGGCAACCACACTGCCCTGGCTTCTTTGAAATGCTGGTGGCCCTCTAGCAAACCCATGAGTGCAGCTGGCCAGCCAGCCAGCCTCCAACGGGACACCTAGTAGCATAAAGTCATTCATGACGTAACTTCAGCTGCGCCCACCACTCGCCAGGCACCGTTCTGCAAGGATCAAGGGCCTGTGCTCCCACGGAGCCAACAATGGGGAAGCAGGTGGAAGAGGATCCAGCGGAGCGGGAGGCTCCAGGGGGACAGAGAGGCAGGCACCCAGGGAAGGGACCGTCGGAGCAGCCTGCAGGAGGGCGGTGGCTTTAGAGAACGGCCGAGTGACTGTGGGAACACAGGTGGGCATGGCGCCCCAACTCCATCCACAGGTTCCCTAGGCAGCGGACACAGCCAGGAAGAGGCTAGAGCACGGAAGCCCCACCCCCGCCGCACGGAGTGGAGTGGTGACACAGGGGTTGGAGGAGCTGGGGCGCTTTGCTCCACAACTGCTGCTATTTCCTATTTCCCAAAAAGAGGAAACTGAAGCCCAGGGAGGGAACAGCATTCACGGGAGAGTGCACGGCATGCACGTACCAGGGTGGGTGCCTGATGCCCCTGGGAAGGAAGTCTGCACACAGCAGGGGCCCAGGTGGCCACTCTTTCCCCGGGACTCCTCCATTTTCTTCTCCCTTCCTCACCACTCGGCCTACCCTGGCTTAGGGCTAGGAACAGAAAGGTAAGCACTTCATGGGAGAAGAGGGGGGGAGAGAGAGAGAAGCTGGCTCCCGAGCGGAAGACTCACATCGGTAACTTTCTCTGGAAGGTCTACCGAGGTCCTGCTCACCTACCGGGCGTCCCAGACGTGGTCCTGCTCACACGGCAGGCAGGTGGCTCTGAGGCGGCCCCAGGTGTGCCTCCTGTCCCAGGTTCTCCCCAGCCCAGGGCCACCTGCCCCAGCTCCCTTGGCCGACCTGGGGTGGTGCCTCCTCCGGCGGCGCTGTGGGTGTCTGGAATGCGGAAATGGGAACCAGCAGTGCCAGCTTCTAACGACTTATTCAGCGGCCTCGAGGCCACGCCAGCTACCGGAGTTCCCCCGAGATGGCTGCTCTCTGCACACAGGCACATTCCCAAAGAGGCGGTTTCGCCAACATTCCCGTTGGGGAAGGGAAATAACAGGATTCCTTACTCATCAGACACGTGGTCCTGGGTCTGAATGAGTTTGGGAGACAGCTCGAAGGTAACAAAGCCTGCCTGTTGCCTCCCATTCAGGAACAGGCCACCTGCTCAGTGCTGGGCCAGGGTTGGCTCAGCGCCACTGTGTCCCTGCCCGCGCCCAGCAGCTTCATTCACGTCCTTCCCGTCCACAGGTGGGCCCCTCGCCTCTGCAGACGGTGCTGGCTGCAGGGGCTTAATGATTAAACCTTGTGGAGACGCTTCAGGCGGCTCTGGAAGCACACGCTGGGACAGTGCTGCTATAAAGGCTGCCATCTCTCCAGAGCCTCATGTCAGCCTGTGTCGGCGCCACCAGCACACCTGCTTTACAGACAGTGTTGCGTGGAAATCACAGCATGGACGTCACATAGCAAGTGGGGAGTCCAGCCCAAGCGCTGCAGTTCGGAGGTTCCAGCTTTTGACCACTGTGCTCAAGTGCCCTTGGGAGGAGACCACAAGGAACAGGACCCAGTGAGATCACAGCTCTGACCAATAAATGCTCAATAACGAACGGAGACAACAGCTTACAGCTATAATCTCAGCACTGGAAGAGGGAGACAGGAGTTCAAGACCAACCTGAGCTACATCAGACTGTCTGGAAAAAACAAAGACAAACAAAACAGCTCAATAACTCTCAGCTGTGTTGTCACAAGCTGCTCACACCTGAGCCTTCAAAACGAAAGCCACCTGGCTCCTGGATGTCTGATGGGAATACAGCAAGACTATTGCCAGGTGTGACGGTGCCCACCTGTAATCCCAGTACTGGGGAGGCTGAGGCCAGAGGAGGTGCTGCAGGTTCAAGGCCAGGCTGGCCTGCAGCCTTAGCCCCTGTCTCAGGAAAGCAAAATTAACTCTTACCATTTTCTTCATCAAACAAACAAATTAGAATGTGCGCTGTGACCCACACACTGTAGTAAACATGAACTAGGCTTCTTTTACCTGCAGGGAACTCTTAGTCACCTGAGAATAAACTGACCAAAACCAAAACCAACAAACAAACAAACAAACAAGGCAACAAGCTGATGCCCGTGCCCTGGGCACTGCCTGTAAGTCACTCACTCCGGGGAGGATGGAGCGATCCCAGCTCCCCCTTACACACATAGAAAGGGACACGGAGGGGCCACGCGGCTTACCCCCGGGGGCTACGTGGGACCCAGGACTTGCACAGGCTCCGCCACATTCCTCAGGCCCTCTGCGGCCTCCCAGGGCAACCGCTGTGCGTGGGCAGGCAGTCACAGGGAACTTCTGCCTGGAAACGGAACACTGCTTTCCCAGATGGCTGGGCCTGGGACAGAACCACCAGGGCCACGATTCTGAGCTGGCCATCTGTACCTGACCCGCATCCTCCCCTTCCGTCCTCTCACCAGCCCTCCAGGGTCCTCGGATGAGCCTCTGCTCGGGAGTGGGAAGGAGCAGAGAGGCCCCAGGTGGTGCTGAGCAGAGAGAGCTCCCAAGAAACATCCCCACCAACAAGCCGGGCGCAGGGCCACATGCCTGTGGTCCCAGCACTGGGGGAGGCACAGGCAAGCAGAGCTCTGAGTTCGAGGCCAGCCTGGTCAACAGAGTGAGTTCCAGGACAACCAGGGCTACACAGAGAAACCCTGTCTGGAAAAACCAAAACCTAAAAAACCATGAACATGTCCCCAGTGTCGCTGCCCATACAAAACGTTTGGTAACTGACACATGAAGGGCTCGTAGGGTACACGGACTATGCAGGAGGTTTTGGGGGGCGGACAGGATTAAAGAGCACACAGCTAAGTAACTGAGGTAATTACAAATCTAGTCAGTGCAACACAAAGAGAAAAACCATGAGCCTGTGGTCCTGCCCTTCCACCAACTTGTACAGCAGATCTCTCTGCACTCTCACCTGTTCCCGAACAGAGCTCTGACTTTATCCCCACAGCCTCTGGCCCTGGCTAGGACCTGTCCACGCAGGGCTGTGTCAGGCTATCTGCCACAGTGCTACCCCGAGAGACCTAAGAGCAATCAGGAGGCAGGGCATAAGCGAAAGGTTTCCGCTCTTAAAGAGACACACAGTGAGTGAGAAGTGTCCTTAATTGCTGCTGGATAGGGCCCTAAAAGGCATGCCAAGTGGAGCCACGCAGGGAGCCAGAGGTCATGAGAAGTATACGGCCAGTGACGAGTGACACGATGGAGTAGGACTGGGACCGTATACACTTTGAGGAGCTACTGTCAACCCCTATATTGAGACCTGTGGGCTTCTTTGTTCTATAAATCTCATTCCAGCCGGTTTTGTTGGGGCCGATGACTGGACTCTCAACTGTGGTTCCTGGACATGAAGCCTAGCAGGCCCTGGGGGACTGTTGCATGTGCAAACGCTCACACTGGACCTGGAGCACAGAGCTCCCTGGACAAGGCCGGCTTGAGTGCGGTTCTGCAGGCCCGAGAACCCCGCAGGGGCACACAAGGCTGCAAAGTTACCGCGCCACTGCTCCATGGCTCCGTGGCCCTCTGACCCCTAGGCAGGTTGTTTAAAGTCTACAAAGGGAATTACTGGGTTGGCTGAAGGAGTGGGAAGGAGGCTTGGCTGAAGTCAGTCACGGCATGTGAAGCCCCTGGCACTGTCCGGAACACACTGGACACCATTACCCTCGTCATTACTGTCAGCAGCCTGGGGCACACCCACTGAGGTAACTTCCTGCCCAGCTCTCCCAACACTGGGCCATACCTCTTCTATATTTATCTTACCCCCAGGAATCACTACTGTGCTTTGGGGCTCCACAAAAGGGAACCAAAGGCCTTGCTTCCACCTCTGGCGCCCCAGCACATACCACCATGGGCACTCTAAGCTCAGGCCCCAAGATGAGGAAGGCTGACCACTGGCCTGCCAGGCCCTGTCCAGGAGGAAAGGGACTCCCACAAGAAGAACAGCAGAGCTTGGCTCTGGAGCCATGGCTGGGCAGGGGTCCTGACTCCGGCATACTGTAGGCACTGCGGGGCTGGTCAATGACAGGGAAGAATGAGACACGGAGGTCTGATCTCTGGCCTCACCCTTAGGGTGAGAAGGAGTGGCCAAAGGCCTCTTGCTCCAGAAAGAAAACTATCACACCAAACTTCATAAAACTCAATGTCAAACCATTCTTGACCCACAAATAACCAGGTTTTTACAGCCCAATACGACTCAAGGACGTTTAATACCATGTGAGGGACTGAAGACTAGCAAGAAACTAGGCCAGTGGTGTCGCTAACGAAGGAACCGGGGTGTCTGAATCTTACACTTTTAGTTCCATGCAGCTGTGGCTACTACTGAAATTTCAGAGCAAGGAGCAGGCATGATGGCTTATGCCTGTGATCCCAGCACTCAGGAGGCAGAGGCAGGTGGAGCTCTGCAATTTCGAGGCCAGCCTGGGCCACAGAGTGAGTTCCAGAACAGCCAAAGATACACAGAGAAAAACAAAAACCAAACAATTCAGTACAATTTAACTATCGGCCTGAAATGTCCTCAGTGTTCCTGAACATCCAGATTGCTTTTGTTATTTTAGAGGAAAGGGAAGAATGGGTCCCAGGTCACCGAAAACACAACCGTGAAAACTTAGCGCTCCTACCTTTGTCTCCCTACGTCCCTCAGTCCTCCACTCAGAGGACCTCCTCCATCGCCCCCTGAGCCTCAGGACCTTTGCACCGACCGCCACACAGCTGCCACCTCCTCCAGGGCTGTCCCTCCGCTGAGGGCCTCCACACCCTCTGCCCTGACACGTCATACTCCCTCCCCGCTTAATGTTCTCGCCTTAGTGCTTACTACCACCTGACACGGTACAGTCTATTTATTTACCTCGTTGTTTGTTTGGTTTTTTTTTTTAACAATATTTTTCCACACATGTGGATGTGGAGGTCAAGAGAACAATTTGCAAGAGTTCACCTCTTGCACTAAGTGGATTCTAGGGATCAAAATCAGGCTTGGCACCAAAGGCTTTTATCCCAGGGATCTTATTGGCCCTGTTGTTCTACCGTTTCTGTGCTCCTTTGAGATAGGTTTCATGTAGCCCAGGCTGGCCTCAAACTCTCTCCGTAGCTGAAGACATCGGCCTTGGATTCCTGAATATCCTGCCTCTTTCCTAAAGCTCAGGTTACAGGTGTGTGGCACTAGCTTAGTTTCACTTATCTTGTTTTCCTAGTCTCACACTTGCGTGGACCCCAGAAGGGAGAGAGAGGTGAGGAACAGAGTCTGCACTGCTGGATAGCCTTCGTATCTAGCACAGTTCTCATGAGAACACCATCACCGAGCAAGCTTAAAAGCCAAAGCTAGGCTGGCTGGCTGTGGCAGAGGCGGATCTCTGAGTTCAGTAGTCCTGCTGTACAGAGTGAGTCCAGGACATCCAGGGCTACACAGAGAAACCCTGTTTCAAAAAGCAAACAAAATAAACAATGAAGCTGGGCAGCTGGGCCGTCTTTTATCCCAGCACCGGGAAGCAGAGGCAGGCGGGTCTCTGTGTGTCTGGGCAGCCTGGTCTACAGAGTGAGTTCCACGACAGCCAGGGTTTTTGTTGTGGGTTACGAAAACCCACAACAAAAACAAACATTAAATCAAATCTGGGGGCCTGGAGATGACTCAGAAAAGGCACTTGTTGCCAAACCTGGAGCTGGGTTCAATTCCCGGATCACACATTGTAAAAGGAGAGCACTGACCTCCACACGTATACCACAGCACATATGCGGCCTCTTCACCCCTGTATAAATGTAAAACCCCCTCCATGCTGACCATCATGGCCCACGCCTGCAGACGCAGCACTTGGGACGTACAGGCAGGACTGGAAGGCGTTCAAGGTCAGCCTGGGCTACCGGCAACACTGTGCTTAAGCAGAAGCAGGGCTGGGGAGATAATCAGTGGGTGAGGCGTTTGCTGTGTGGGCATGAGGAAGTACATCCCCCGGGCCCATGTTACAAAAGGTGAACTCCTGTAAGCCCAGCCACGGAGGGGCTCATGGCCACCCAACCCAGCCTGCCTGTGGGCTCCTGGCCGGTGAGAGCCTGCAGGGGCTGGGGAGTGGGCTGTGCCTGAGGAATGAGGCCTCGAGTCTCCACAGGCGAGTGCGAGCGCTCGCACACACGCACCTGCACGCACACACACATATGCACAGGGATAATATATACGAAATGCATGGTGCTAGCATTTGGGTTTTGCCAACCCTCAGATGCGACACACACACTAACAGAGGAGGAGCCTGGTTTGAAACAAGGTGCTTCAGC